TAGACAAGAGCTGAGAAGTTAATGCTGGTAGCTACACGTCAGTATTATCGTCAATACTTCTATTTGATCCACTAAACTAAGTCACCACATCAAATTCAACAGTGTTTGGAACAAACATTCTAAACCAGGACCTAAATATCGAATCCAAGCCGAGTCTATCAGATCGTAATCAAACAGAACGATGAACTCTCCTCTTCAAGAAACCCAATTCTGTAACACAAATTAACCCAAGTTTAAATCCAATAACCAAGAAACCTTCACCAACTGATTCGATCGTGTCACATAGCCACAAAGCTCTCCCAAGTCAAATCAAACCAATAACGCTCCTCAAAGCACGCTAACGTCCACAACAGCATTAGCTTACTAGAGGAACAGGCTAGAATAAACTATTTCATTTTATTTTGTTTCTTCACTTTTTCAATTCAAAAAAGCAACACTTTTTGCAGATAGTATGCAACACTATAATATATAATCATCGATAGATACATATATATAAGACCAATTAGTTGAATTATGATTTTATGATATGGTGTAAATGATTATCGGAAAAATTGATTAGAAATTTGGTAATATGAAAGAAATTGTATCGGACAATTGCAGTTATGATTTGATGACGATCCTCATCTTTCTCACTTCAAGATATGAGTAAATTTCAACGGAGATATTATGTTCAAATTTCAATTTTTATTCTTACTTATCAATATTTCAATTTTTTATGCCATTTAGTATACGTTTATTTTTGACAAGAACGCTTAATGATATATACGCTTAGTAAATAAGAAAATTTCTTTTTCTTCAACTTCTTCTCTCAAGTAACTTTGCTAAATTTTTCTGTAAATTTTTTTTCAACTTCTCCAGCAAAATTATCCAAATATAAATATGAAGTTTTATGCAAACTTACTCGAGAAATGGAATAGAAAGATTTACTCATTTCTGGAAAGTTTATTGATTGCGAATTATTTTGCAAAATATTAATTTTATTTCTGTTGAAAAAATTTAGAACTTATAATTCATCCGCTAAAAGTCACAGCTATTTACGTTGAGCAATAAAAAATGTATTTTTTTTGGAAAACTGTGAAAAATGAAATTTCTCGAGTTTCACAATTAGTAGCAATTTTGCCTAATTGATCACCAACTGAAACATCAATAAATGTTGTAGGAAAAAGTGATATGTGTTCAGCGATAAATATAACAGGAAAATTAAGGAAAGACATAATTTTGCTAAAAAAAAAAGAAGAAAACTGAATAGACCATACAGTGCACGCTTGACAGAGTTAATCAGTTTATAAATGAACTTCCTTTAATGGATTTGTGATTAATAGTTGAACAATAATGATAAAATGAGAGTTAGAAGGAAAATGTAATTTTGATATTAGCCAGAATTGCAAATATGTTACTTCTTTAATCATTTATGAGGATATAAGTTTAGAGTTTAGTTTTGATTTCAAGTTTTTTGAGTAAAATTAGAAACTATCAACAGACAGTAATTGATCAAGCATTCTATTTCATTCTTATCCTTATTAAACATATGGGTAGATCATAATGGTGTAAACTATTTAATATTTTGGATATCTGAATGATAACGCAATAATTTTAAAGCAATTTTCACGCATTTCCAAGACTTACCAAAATATTCATATATTTTATTTTTGTACCAAAATCAATGAAGTCAAATTTATGATCAAAAAATGTATAATTTTTAGTGATATGTCACTTGGTAACATACTTTTGATTATTCGACTTTGATAACATCAATAAGTCTGGTAATAGTATGGCTATTTATTGGTAGTGTAATAAAACATTGTCATCTTCGAAAAGGTAGTGGTTCCAATAGTATATATACTTTTTTTTTTTTTTAAAAAATTCATTTCATTCACAATGACTTGACATTTTATATTGAAGAAAAATGCATTATACCGGTTCTTGAATTTTCTTTCTTCTTTTTTTTCGGCGAGAACTGAAAATAATGTAGAATGGAACATATAAATGAAGCAGAAATTCTTGAAGGAAATATGTGTAATGTTCATCAATAACATCTTCAACCTGTTCGTC